AAAAAAAAAAAAAAAAAGAAGGCAGCATCTGAATTCTAATTTTGGTTTTCCTCCTCCCTTTATTTTGTTTTGGTGATATTCACTTCAGGTATATGATCTTTAAAAGATGCAGCGGTATACACTCCAGAGGCCTTTTAATGCAATCCTTCCACTTCTCCATCTCTCCCCTTCCCCTGCCACCCACCCACCCTTCCTAGCACAGTCCTTTAGGTCTTCTCTGGTGCACCCATGTTACATTATTAATGTGAAATGATCTTAAGTAATTCTGCAATGATTTAGCATCACTTTTCACACTGGAAGTACTTGCTTTGTGGTCAGGGTTTTGTTGGTTTGGGTTTCTTTTCCTTTTTTTTTTTTTAACCTTTTTTTTGGAAAAAATATTTTCAGCACATTCTGGAGAAAAATTTGGCTTCCATTAAGTTCCCCAAATGCTCTCTGTGTGTTGCAGAGAAACATCTGAAGAGATGAACTGTGATTTAAATACATTTTGGTGTAGAGAAATCTGTCCACACATTGCAGAGTGGGCAGATGTACTTTTATTTTATAGAGTTAGATGAGACATTGAATTGGCCCAAATTTTAAAGGGGTTGAAGATTCCTGGCTGCGTCTTTGGTACTGGTCATTTTTTATTCTCTTTATTCCATTAATACTGCTCTGCAGTTGGTCCTAAAATCTAAATGAGAAGTTTTTGCCTTGGGACTTGACTAAAATTTTCCCTTCCCACCCATCCTCCTCACTGGGCTGACCTGCTGAAAAGCTGCTTTTGAGCATAAAATGTGGATGGAAAAACACTTTCTGTCTGCAGGGTATTCACTCCTGAAATGTTGAAGGATGCACACTAGGACATACAAAAAATTGTATAATACATGAATATTTTCCTTCCCATATTGACATCCAGAGGCTGATCCCATCTCCCTTGGAGGGGACGGCAGCTGTAAAGTGGCCAAATACCCCTCCTGTTACCAGGTTTTTGGGGTTTTGTAGTTCAAGGTACTCATGCCTTGTGCATTAGGAGATGCCCTGCTGTCTTGCCTGAAAAATTTGCTGCCGTGCTAAAACCAGCAGCATGAAATTATATTTTATTTTATTTTTATGAAGTTGGCAATTCCCTCTGAGCCAAATTGTGTGCAATTGCTGGTGTTCCCAAGAGGCAGCATGAAGATAAACTGCTGAAGGGAAAGAGTGGCCTAACTTTTTCCCCAAGTCCCACCTTTTCAGGGGAAGCTGTTGGGGGTTTTGATGTTTTGGGTTTTTTTGTTTGTTTGTAAACTGAGGCTGCCTGTAACTATAGCCAGTTTTACTCCAGATGATTCAGTTTCTTGCCTATTAGAGCATAATTTTGTCTGTGCATGTCGGTGGATATCACTTTGTTCCCTTCCAGTCAAATGACCCATTCAAGGTACATGTACACAGGACTGAAATATAATAATAATAATATCTGAGGGGTGTGAATGTCCTTCTGCTGCATTAGCATTGCTTCACCAGCTTTCTTGACACTCCTGGAGTTGTTTGGTGAAACTTAAGTGTGTGATTTAAAATGAATTTGAAGCACTGATTTAGATTATTTTTAAAAGTTGTGCTTAAAATACTGTATTGCATCTTATGAAGAAAAAAACCTCCCAATGCCTTTCCCCCTCTGGTCCAAAAACTGAGCACTACCTACATAAATAATATGGGATTGACTTTTTTTTTAATTAAGTACTTCCTCTTTAAGGAAAATCAGGATATACTTGTTACAGCCTCTTATTATTCATCTCTTAAACTATGAATGTACATGTAATGTGAAATTTTGCTTTTATTTATAGTTTTGGGGTTTGTTTTCAGTTTAATTTCTCAATTGTAAAATATTTTTGCTGAACCTGTTACATATGAAAGTTGTGGGAGAGTACTGTATCTTGAACATAAGTGGCTTTGGTACTGTGGTCTTATTCTACTTAATCAGTTTTCTCTTTTTTTTCCCTTTTTTATTTTTGCTGTGATTGGAAATAGCACTGAACAAAATCTAGTAAAATTAAGTTATTTTTCTTTCTACTAAAATTAAGTTATTTTTTTCTCCTGAAGATACTTGATATAGTATTTATTAGATTTTTGTTTTGTTTTTGAAGTGGAATTATTACTGTTAATCTATTTCAAAACTAGTTAATTTACACTTTAAATTTTATAACAATGGGTTTTGCATGTTGAGCAACATGTGAAGAGTTTAATGTAGAGTCAGCATTACTGAAGCTGGTAATCTTAATTTTGCATTCTTGTGACACTTTTGTTTGCATTTCAGTCCTCAATTACTGTTTGTTTTTATTTTTTTTAGAAGATCATAAAATAGGATGTGCCATAAGAACATCATTAGCATATGGAGCAGGGAAAAGTTGAAACAAGTTTTTGTCTGATCTTAGTATAGAAATAATTCATTAAACTGATGCTATGAGCATGCTCTGTGCTGCAGTGAATATGGGGCAAAAGTTGTTTTTGTTTTGTTTTTTTTTTTTTTAAATAAGAAAAGAAAAGACTTTCTCATCCTTGACTACATCATGAACACACTGTTCTCATAGTCTGGTATTTGTGTTCCCCCTCCTCTTAGCTTGAATTTCTAAAGTAAAGAAATGTTTGCACTTATTTTTGTTCTTAAGGTGACTTTTTTTTGGCTATTTCTCTGTGTGTCTCTTATTTTTAAGTTGCAATAGCTCGGAGCATGTTTTCAAAATGGTTCATGGCTCTATGGAGAAGTACTAAAACATGGCACACTTAACGCTTGTCTCTTCATAAACTATTTCTCTGTGGGGCAGTTGCTGTCTCCATAGGGAACAGTCCTGCTCTGCATTTTAAACACTGGATTTGTCTTCTACTACAAACAAATACTGTGAAGTTAATGTAAAAAAAAAAAATCATTGATATTTTTAATTGTTTTTAATCTTGGTGCAGTTCAGATTAAATATGTATATTTAAAGACACTAATTTTTGTGGGAGAGTTTTATAGTATACAGTATGTAGAAAAGCTATTGGAATGGAATATATTTTATAAAAATGTTCTATCACTGTTTTATAGTGAACTATTTTTCCTTCAGTGTTAGTGTAATACTGTTAGTCTAGATACGACAATCGCAGGAAGAGTGATTCAGGCTACTGTTAGCGCTTAGTTTTGCGTGGAGTTCTGTTTGCAACTGTATTGGTATGTGCTGTACAATGTGACAATCGTGACTAGGATTGTTGTCTTTATAAATTTACATGAAATAAAACGTGCTAGAATTGTAAGCTTGAGCTTCCTCCCCCCTTTAGCAGAAAGGGGTGTGGTGTTTGCCATTTTTTATGATGTATTAATAATGATTACTTTAATTGCAAGTATTTTTATAATTTGCCACTTAAAAAAAATTTTATTACTATGTGCTCTAATATTTTCTTTGTTTTTCAGGGCCATCTGGAATTTTAGGCATGTAAGGAGCTGCCGTGTCTCAGACAGAGCCTGACGGAACATTTCCTTAGTGACTGGGCTGGACCTAACCTAGCACCACTTCTGCATTTTGACCATTTTGGGGCTGTTTGAAGGGGCTCGGCGCTCCCTGGGGGAGCTGTGGGCCAGCCCTGTCCCCAGTGATGGTGGTGGTGGCCAGGTGACAAACCCGTGAGCACGGGGGTGACGTGGCGTGCGAGGACAGCCCGACACCCTCGGCTAACTGGCTAACTGGTGTGAGGGTGTTCTCCTAAATGCAGAGTCTCTCCCAGCCTTGGGGAGCTGAGCTCTGACCCACTCCTCTCAACACCCACCTCCATCCCTGGGCTGAGTTTAGCAGGAGCTGGCGCTGGGAGGAGGAAGGCACGAGCTGTCCCTGCTGCTCAGGGGAGGGCACTAAGCTGGTGGGGAGGTTTGCACCTGTACCATGAGCACTGTGTCTTTTTCTTAATTACCTGGAAGCAAAAGATCCTGGCAGAGTGGGACTGCCTCAAAGTGGTGCTGCTTAAAGGATGGGCAAGTTATAGTTAATGCTGGTGGGGAGGCACAGCTATCACTCCCCTCCTGCTACCACGTAGTGGTTTCTTTGCAATCGTCTCAAAATAGGTGGGTATTTCTTGCCTTCAAGCATGTGTCCCTTCCTTAGAGATCCTGTGCCTGCATCCCCATCTGTGGGGAGGGCTGAAAGCTGCTGAAGATACGTGGTGATCTGCTGCAATGTGGTGAAGTGTTAAAAACTATAAATACATATTTTTTTTTTAGGTTTTTTTTTTTTTAATTTCTGCTGCTGAGAGTTAGGTGTCCCTGCAGCTCTCTGTTTCCAGTTTTTTTTGCTGTGGTGGATTCAAAGGTGTTTTTTTATTGCCCTTGCCTCCCCAAAAAAATTAAATAATTTGCCCAAATCTGAGTGTGGTGCTGGGGAAGGAGGAGGCAAAAGGCTTTTCTTTGAGAGAGAGGGTGCTCAGAAAGAAGCAAGCTTGAAGCTAAACCTGGGAGGTGGATGGCTTTGCAAACAGGCTATAAATAACCATGAGTAGATTGAGGAGAGCAGCCCACATCTCCTCTGGCATGGGCATGCTGTGCCCATTTTCTTTGTTGATAGCAATTGCTAATGTGAATTCTGGCACTCCAAATCCTGATGCCTGTTGTTCTGATAACATAATTAAATCTTAGGAATGTGAAATATAAAAAGCTTTGGGAAGAAACCAGGCCACTAAGCGGATCCTGGGAAGGGGTGTGTGCAGGCTGTGTATGTACCAAATAAGCAATGGGCACGCTCTAGACAGGATTCCCTGCCTGCCAGCTCTTGGCCACGTTGGGACCTGTGACCTACAGGAAAGGGGGTGACCCCCAGGAGCATCTGCTGTCCTAATCCCATGCTGCAACGGCTGTCATCTTCCAGGATTACAGCACATCATGGACTCCTTACGTTGGCAGGGGTCAGCTGTGCCCATGCCAGCAGCTGGGGTTTGTGCCACCCTTCCAGAGCCTGGTTCTCCTTGGGA